CACAATGATGAATGAATTCTTTTTTAGTTAATTTCATGGTTTAATTTATTGTATAGTTGACTTTTTGTTTGGTTGATTTGATAGGATATTAGTTATCAATATGCTATGGATCCAAAGTCAATTTGTGGTTTTCCTAATGTTCAACTTTAATGCAATTTCAGTTACTTTTCATGGCAAAGCGCCCAATTGATGATACAAAAGTGTTCATTTCACCTTTGTCTAGTCAACCTTAAACACGTATATATATTTTTTTCTTTTTGGTCTTTATAATTTTTTTTCGTTCTTATTATTAAATAATTGTAAGATAAAATGTATATGACTTACCATGCAAATCAACACGTTGGGTAGAATTTTAACAAATACAATATACTGAAATTTGTACGCAAAGTTTAATTAAAGGCTTAAAATAACCAATCTGGTAGTCTATAAATCAAAAGACATTCCACTGAGTTAGGTTGGTACTTGATTCGATGATATCAACCAAGAGATAAGAAAAGTGGAAACATCATCCTTCGAACATGTGAATCGACAACAATAATATTGTTCGTTCCTTGACACATATAATTGGACATTAAGACACATCTCAAATATTTTAGAACAGATACATTCTCACCTCACTGGATGAATTAGTTGAGAATGAAAGAACTCGAAATGTATCCAATATACCTAGACAATGGAATGATATTATATCTCAGCTTTAGTATATTAAAGCAAAAATAAATTAAGTATAAATATTCATAGGCTGAACAATTTTTTCCCAACCTGGTTACCAAACAATTTTTTCCTAACAACTATGCTGGCTTATATGATAATTTTTTTTTTTTACTTTGTTTATAATGTTTTTGAAATTATACTAAAAATCTAAAAAATGACAAAAGGAAAAAAAAAAGTTGAAAACAACTTTTTGAAAAAAAAAGTGTAAATTTGATTTTAATTAAAAAAATATCTTCAAAAAAAGTAAATTAATTTCAAAATAAAGAAACGGTTGATTGACTTTTAAATATTTTATTTATTTATAAAACCTAAAACTATAAGTGTCTGTTTTGGTACCTCTAATGGAATTACCACACGAGAGAAAATATGATTTCAATTCGAATTTTCACGTAAATATGACTTGCTAACTAAAACAATGCTACTTGACCCGACTTCAAATAACTCTTAAAAAGTATTTATTTAATTTTATCATATTTTAATTTTTAATTAATAAATTAAGATTAAAAACTTATATTACTAAATTTTTATTTCGTTTTCTATATTTTCAACGAAGATTCGAAACAATTTAATTATATTCCTTTCAAATGGTTCCAAACAATATAAATAATGTAAAATTACTCTTCAAATTTCAAATCGTGACATTTATAAACATTTCTTGAATTTTAAAACCAATGATAAGAACAAAATTAGTATTGTTTTTTCCATTTGTAGGTCATTTGCAAAATCCCATATGCCCATGTGCTTCTGGGTGGATCTCATGAAATTATATGTTTTTTTTCGTAGGAAATTTTTTTGTACATCGTGTTGTGTGGCCTGTCCACTTCGAATTGAATTTGTTGATTTAAACGGTTTTACTAATTACAAAGTCGTTTATTTGGGTTTTAATATAAGAACTCGTAATTAGATCTATTTGTTCTTTTTTTTTTTCCTTGACAAAAAAAGATCTATTTGTTAATGTAGTCATATCACAATATTTAAAACGGTTTTAGACTACAAAATAAATAATAATGATAATAATAAATTCAGACAAATTGTGCGCGAGGAATTTCGAAGAACTATTCGAGAAACTTCCAAGAATAATTGAATAAAAAAAGGACACAATTCTGTTCTGAAAAAGGAAAGTTCCAGCGATAATCTCGCATACTTTCCAAGGGAATTTCTTTCTATATGCGGCCATCTCTGACCAAAATTTGTGGGGTTATATTGATTATTTTACTTTTTTAGGGATAAATAAAGTAATCGAAAATTGCACTGGAGATCAAACATTAACCCATTTATTTATACAAATCTCAACTACACATTTTATTTTGTATTTTCTATTTTTTAAATTTATACCTCCTTCCTTGTATAATTATAAAAATACAGCCGAACTTTAAAAACAAAAATAAAATTTTATAAACTACAATCTCGTTCCGCAACAATTTCAATTTTAGATTTTTTTTTAATTATGTCTAATTCCTCCCCATTCCTCTGTTATGTTTTTCACCATTTTTATACGCACATTTAATTTATTAGCTAAATCTTAAAAATTAAAAATTAAAATTATTTTTTTATTTTAAAACATAGCTTAAATTTTTGAAAATGTTTTAAAGAGTAGGCAACAAACTAAAGATGTGGTTGTCAAACTACGCGTTGTTTTTTAACAAAACAAAGAACACAAAGATAGAGAAGAATTTATAAGCTAAATTTTAAACCCATAAAATCAAAATTAAAGTAGTTATAAAGGAGAACAGTAAACCAATTGAGAAGGATATAAAGTAATTATTTTAAATTACACGAATTTTCATGAATATCTCAATTTTAGTTAATCAAATGGACACTATATTTAAGAAATAACTCATAGGATGTCATTAAATTTAATAATGTGATTATTTTACAATTTTACATTTAGATTATGACATATGATGTACGAATTTGAATCACCGATCGAAAGAATATAAATTATTTTAGACTCGGTTGGCCATCTATTTTATCTATATTGTGTATCGGGTATACATGGACGCTTTCATTTTCGTATATATTCTGTAAAATATTTTCCAACCACAATGTAATCATTCAGAACATTTACAGGCATGGTTTCTAATTGTGTGTGTGTATATATATATTATTATTATTTTAAGTACAAGAATGGGATTAAACGAAGGCAAAGTGAGGATAGTTCAACGGTAATTGGACATATATCTCCAATCAAGAGGTTGTGAGTTCAATCACTCACCCTGCATGGTATACTAAAAAAAAATAGGGTGAAGCGAATCCATGAACTCTTAGTTAGAGACAAATGCCAATTATCGTTTAGTCAAGCTCTGGTTGAACAAAAGTGTGTATAGCTAGATCATAACTTAATTGGTTAAAGATATATTATGGACTAAATGTGAATATTTCAACAAAAAAAAAAAAAATTTGATATGAAAATTTGATGATCTGGTTTTAATAGTTAAAAGAAATGAAAAAGAAGAAGGCCACACATGGAAGCCCATTTGTATTCAACACACCCAGAGGTTGGGCCCAAGCCCTGAAAAGCCTGATGTTTCCGCCAACTTTATGGGCTCGTCTTTGTACAACTTATGGCCCACTAAAGTTACAATAGGGAAACCCAAGAAATCAAGAGAGAATAAGAATGTTAAAACTTGTTAAACAATGGAATTGAAAAGATTCTTCTTTTAATCATACTCTTGTTAAATTGCCAATTAGAACATAGTTATAGAACTTGGAATATAATATAATGATAAATAATCATATGTAAAAAAAAAATTTAAAGTTATGCAACGAATTTTCTTCTACGTTCTTACAACTCTGATATTCACTTTCACATATTTGATTACTCCTATATAATTTAACCCATATGACATTCATTATCAATAAATAAACAATATTTTAAAACCAATCATTCATTAAAATAATAATTTAAAAATTAACAAAAACGAGTAGAACGCATTCCAAAAATGGGTTAGATAGATTCTATCTACTTGGCCTTGTTTTCTTTTTGGTATGTTAGCCATGGATGAAAACTAGACAAAATTTGAATAAATGTAATTATGAATGGAAAAAATATTGACAAGATGAAATGAAATGTCAAAAATGAAACACACACATATGAATGATGAAAAGTACAATGAAATGGCAGAAGACAGAGAACAAACTCACGAGCATCCCAACCCCTTTGTTTTGTGTAACCCTAATTCAACAAAAACAAAGTGGGCCTAGCAAAAATCGAATTATCTTACGCGATCAAAATTGTTGAACTAAAAAGAAAAAGAAAGATTCAAATCCTTATATACATGGGCAATATTAATATACACACATTATTTGAACTAAATTCAAATCCTTATATACACGGACAATATTAATATACATACGTTATTTGAACTTTCGAACTTATACGTAATAGTCAAAATGTCAATAATTTATTTAGAACCGAATGGCTTTTTCCTTTAGTTTAAAGGATGTTTTTTTTAGTTATTCAATGATATGTAGGGATTAGATATTAAACCATCTCATCAATAAATATATGTTTTAACCAGTTAGATTATGTTTAAATCATTAATTACTAGTTCAATAAATGTTGAGGGAGGAATCAACCTATAAAATATGGAAGTTAATTATAAAGGTATTTTATCCACTACGCTATACTCGAATTGACAATTTGAATGACTTTGAATTACTTTGAAAAAAAAATCGACTGTCTTTTCAATAAATGAATTGGATTTTAATCTAAAATATTAGTTTTTCGTTTGACCATCATTTACTTTCTAGTGATATTTGAGATTCCCAATCTTAATAAGTTTGAATTTGTTAGGCATGAAGTGTAACATTTTTAGATCAAGTATAATATATTAGAATTATGCAAAATAATAGAATATTAAAACCTAACTGTGTAAAAAGTTAATACGTAGCTTAAAATGTGAGGTCCATAAATGATATAATATACAACTTAAATTTATAATTGTTAGTAAAAAATAGGAATAAACAAAGTCACGTGGTAAATAAAAACTAAGATTTTGTAGTTTGGAATTATGCAAAGCTTGAATAAAGAGTTTTTAGGATGTGACTTGTGAAGGGCATGCCATATGGCTTGATATCAGAAATCTGTTTTTGGTTTCACGTTTGCAGTGTTTCACAAGGGAAGCATGACAACACACCCAAAACAAAACCCTCCACAAAATCCATCCCCATCTCCAAAATTCTCAATAAAAATTCAAATTTTAATTATTCTTTCCAAAACCTAATATTTATAATCATCATTAAATCCATTCATTTAGTTTCCCACACGTGTCCTCCCTCCTCCCTCCTCCCTCCTCCCTCGTAATCATAATCCTCCCCCAAATTAAATGATCATAAATTAAAACAAGTTTTTGTGACCACCATGGATCCCGACTACATAGAGAGCACGGATTCGTCGTCGAACGCGTCGTCGCATCTGCAGCTGCCGCCCGGATTCCGATTCCACCCCACCGACGAGGAACTCGTCGTTCACTATCTCACAAGAAAGCTCTCTTCTTCACCGCTTCCCGCCCCCATTATAGCGGATCTCGACTTGTACAAGTTCGATCCCTGGGACCTCCCAGGTAAATAAATAACTGTCAATATTACGTAGTTTCATCTCAAAAAATCAGTTGAATTTGTTGCTGTTGGTTGGACAGGCAAGGCGGTGTTTGGGAAGCAAGAATGGTATTTTTTCACACCGAGAGAGCGGAAATATCCAAACGGGGCGAGACCAAATAGGGCGGCGATATCTGGGTATTGGAAAGCGACTGGAACTGACAAGCCCATTATGACATCCAATGGAACTCACAAGGTTGGCGTTAAGAAAGCCCTGGTTTTTTATGGTGGGAGGCCTCCAAAAGGTGTCAAAACCAATTGGATCATGCACGAGTATAGGCTTCTCCACGCCCCTAATAATTCCAACAACAACCCCACCAATCCGAAACCCTCTCTCAAGGTAAAAAAATCTCATTATTTTCTTTACCTACAATAAACATTAATTAATTGTTGTTTGATGATGAAGCTTGATGATTGGGTTTTGTGCCGGATTTACATGAAAAACCCTGCGCAAGCATCGACCATCATGGAGGAGCTTTCCCGGGTGCCGCTGAAGCCGGTGGCTTCCGGCGGACACAAGGGCGGCGGCAACTGCTACTTGGACGTGGGGGTTTTGTCAAGCGACGGCGACGATATTATTCATCAAAACGCTTCGAATATCTCGGAGTTGCCGTCGTCGAGCTGCAGTTCCAAAGCCACCAAACGCGGCCTTCCATGTCAGCTCTGGAACGGCGGCGGAGCAAAGCAACTCCGGCTTGATCTCATCAATAGCTACAGCAGCGGCGTGACGTCCGGAGCCGAAGAAAACACGGTCTCCTACGTGTCTCTTTTAAACCAACTTCCAGTGCAAAACGCAGCGTTTCAAGTTCAACCCAGTGCGCCACTTCTCGGCTCTCTCGGCGACGGCGTTTTGAGGCAACACTTCCAACTTCCCACCAACATCAATTGGAACTCTTAATTAACTTAATTCAGGTAATATTGCCACGTTTTAGCCACCAAAAAAACATAATTATAGGATTTTCAATTAAGACTAAAACCTTATTTTGTTTAGAGAATATAAGTTAGTTCATGTAGGGTTGTCATGGTGTATTAGAGATTTGGGGGGATTATATGTTATTATAATTAGTGAAGTATTAAATTTTAGTTAATTATATGCATTAAAAGAGATGATTTGTATTTTGCCAGCTTGAAACGAAGTTATTACGAGTGCAAGTGCAGAGGTAGTTGATGTTGATATTATTTTTTTAATCGGTAAGAATTATATGTCTTAATTAATTGAGTTATATATACTCCATCACGTCACTTGACGTTGATGTCATTTTTATCCAACTACTTTTTTCTTCTTTGATCTGGCTTGCATCATCAAAATAATTATTTTAATTCAGTGGAAAAAAAAGAAAGTAGAGAGAGAAAAAAATTCTCAAAAGGAAATTATTTTTCCCAAGCTTCCAAAGTCATGTTCCTTTTTAACTTCGTACTTTTTTTTAAAAGAGGTGGTAGCATAAAATAAATATTTATTTTAAATAGGGTAGAAAGTTTGAAATTTTACAAAAATAACCTAACCTAAATCAAATTTAAATAGAAATGTAATATAAAAAAAATTTAAAAAATCACATTAACTTTATATTTGAAAAAAAAATTGAAAAATTGTGATATTTTTTGAAGTACCTATTAATTTTATACTACGTAACTATGTAATTTCTCTTTTTGGTTAGTAATGTGGCAGTTAAAAGAGGAAAGTGTATGTATAACCCAAGCAAAATTAATAGAGCTGAATGAAAATAATATTTTCAAGAACAATTGAGAATTAGTCTTTCAATGATATGGGTAGCTCGACAAAGGTAAATCAAAAAGATTTTTAAAAAAATTGATTCAAACTCCAATGCATGTGTTTTCTTGACAATAAAATGTAATAAGATCAAGTGATATAAAATAAATAATAAACTACAAATTTATTGCTTTTAGTGGACTTTTTTTTTATTTGTTTCGAAATTTGACCACATATATTTAAGATATTTTTTTACAAAGACATGAATGAGAATAAGTATAGAAAATTGGGAGCGTGAATAATATCTTTAACTAGTCTCAATAGATATAGCTTGAGATCTTAGTTTCAAATCACATGGAATGCAACTCCAAATCCAATAATGATCTATCGCGTATGAAAAAAAAAATACTTTATAACTAAAGACCATGAGTGAGGAGTGTGGTTATTCATATGAAAAAGGTGATAGAATTATGAATATGAGAATGGAACTATATTTTTTGGGTAACAAATGTCAAGAGGAGAGAGAGGCGTTAAAGATGAGGACGTAATTTAGTCCAAATTGGCTTGTCTTATGTATCGATTAGATATTGGCTATTTATAAAGCACTTTGCTCTATTTGTCGTTTTTGTTCGTACTAATCTCTCTTTTTTGCTGCCCCATCACCCATTCTTAGCTATCTAATTAATCTATCTATCTATATAAATATATATATGGTGATGGAGTTTTACTAGAATGTCTTGTTTCTTGTTTTTTACTTTTTATTTTTTTAATATAGGAGTGTTTGATAGAGCTTGTTTCTATTTTTTGTTTCTCATTTTCATAAATATTTTTTAAATTGTGTAAAAATTTTGAAAATAATAAAATAAAGTTTCTTATTTTTATTTCTGTTTCTATTTTCTATAATATAAATAAAAAAGTTATTTGATCAATCTTGACTTGTAGGATGCATAATAAATAATGAAAAGTAAATATAATATAAAATACGTTAGTATTTAATTTAAAAAACTAAATTTCATATAAAACTTTTGTACTTTTTTAATTGAGAATTAGATAATAAAAAAATAATAAATAGTTACAAATATGATTCTGTTTTCTTTTCGTAGTGAAAAAGAAAGGATTATAAATGAAGAAATAGTTATCGAATCTAACTATATTTTATTTGGTTGAAAAAGAAGAAATAAAAAGCCAGCGAAATAATTACTTAGTCAACATGGTATTAAACATTTCCCAATTATTTCAGGAGAAAAAAAAGAAAATGAAACTTCATGTAATTAATAATCGATAAATAGTAACGAGTAAAAGTGAAATTGAAAATTTTAAGCTGTTGTCAAACCAGGAAAATTGTGCAAGATTGCAGGAGAATACAACTGAAAAAGGTGGGCTGTCCATTTGAAGTTCGAACTAAATTATGGGCCGGGATTCGAACCACTTGCCGGCCCACAATTGTACACCCTATAGAAAAGATTCAGAAATTACAGTATATAAACAAAACAGTTACACATTTGTTGTAATTTGAAGAAAAATAATATAACGGGAGAAGATAAATTCTTATCCTGAACTAGGCAGGTGTACCAATTTTTACCTTAAGAATGTACGGTAATTTTTCACGAAGATGGTTGAAAGAAATATTCCCATTGCGTCTACTGAATTATAAAACATAGATTTGATATAGAATTAATATGATTAAGATAAAAATGATCACTTCTGACACGTATGTCCAATTACTACTGAGCTAAGTTCTTTTTTTTTTCTTTATATCTATGAGTGTTCGGACCAGCTTGCGCGACACCTCGACTATTATCAAGGGACAACAGTCTGATCCTACAACATTGGATGCTGGAAAATACATAAGAAAGTGTTGAATAAATTAGCACAAAAAGAAAGAGATAATTGCTTGAAGAAAGAAATTTTTATTCGGAAAGTATGAATACGAAGACTCAGAACTCTCTAACATCTTCTAACTTTCTTCTCTTTTTTCATTCACTTGACTTGATTCACTCTCATCACTCTATTCACTTAATTTAATTTACTTATGGGACATCTCTCCTATTTATAGGAGAAAGATCCTTGGGAGCCTAAACAAAAAGATCCTTCTAGGCTCCTAGAACTTTACATATTCTAGATAATTCTTTAGATACCTAAGGGAAAATTCTAAGATATTTCTAGAGCATTTATATATATATATATATTTATATAAATATTCTTCTATATAATCTTCTAGAACAATATAGAATGACTAGTTATTACCCATAAGAGAAATATGTAGCGACTCTAAGAAACTTCTAGATAGTTAGTGTTCTATTTCAACAAAAAGTTCATGTTGGTATTCAATGATCACTTTTATGTATAAATCAAACTCAATTTACATTGCTAACATATGAGCATAACTAAGTAGTAAAGTCATATGCTCCTTTCTCTTAAATCGGAAGTTTAAAATATCCTCGTACCTCATATTTCTTGTACTATTTTTTTCCTTTCAAAATAGTACAACAAATTCAAATAGACTAAAAATCTACAATATTTATCCAAGTCTAGTGTCCCTTAGAAGAAAGGGAAAGTTTAGTGTGAAAATACTTTACTTAGTTTATGGGTAAAAGTCGATTTCCATTCGAGTTTTTTTTTCTCCTTTTTTTAGTACAACATGTGAGGGTGGGAGATTGAACTTCCAACCTCTTTGAGATATATGTCAATTACTGTTGTTCGCTTTGAACAGATACCCATTTGAGTTACTGTTAGTAACCAGTTTTTCCTATTATACCACTGTAAACTAAATTTAATCATTTTTCTTGTTTTAGCTTATATAGGATAAGAATATAAATTTTTTTCTTAAAAGAAAACACAAATTTCTCATCCCATAATTGGGAAGTAAACATTACACTATTTCAACATATTAAAATTGCTCCGATCCTTTGGGATACATATAGAGAGCTGGATTATAATAGGTTGGGCAGCTTAATAATATACCAAAATTCTTGTGGTTAAAGCTGATGATCAGAAGCATTATATTATTTATTGAACTCTAATAGTAATATGTAGTAGGTAATAGGTGTGGCATTAGACGTATTAAAGCAAGGCAGTGATGAGTGGGCATCATTTTGCAGATGGTGGGGATTCTCCATTCAGAAACGAAGCGAAGAACGCCAATGAACTGCTTGGTTTGAAGCATGGCACTGCGTGGCCAGCTCCTCTAAATGTTGCAAACGTTAGACCTTCATATTCCTGGTACCACCCACTCACCTGCACCCATTCCAATTTAGAGTGATCAGTTTAGAATGACTTTTTGTAAAAATACGACGGGTGGAGTTCTAAAAGTTTTCGTATAAAGGGGCAAAATCGTATGTTCTAATTAAGTTTTTGTTCATATAACTGACTAAGGTCTGAATACTACATGAAGAGCATAAGTCAGATGAGATAAATCAGCTCGGTCTCATCTCGGTTGTCAACAATGTAGAGAAGGTAGAATGGGCAGGTTAGAATTAATTCCCATTTATATCTACTTCTATTGATGTGGGGAGGTCTGCTAGATTGAAAGTATTTGGTCAGGGGGAGTCAAACTTTTTTTACTGGGGCGATGAGGATTCTTATTTTCTCCGTTCAAATTTCATCGACCAATCTTTCCCTAATTCACAAGAGGTTTTTAAAATGAAAATACACGGCAGGATCTTAATTTTGGCCGACTAGTCATTAAGTGGATATGTTGTTCGGTCTACCGGAGATAGGTATGAAAGCCAGGAAGTAAGAGGCAAATACTTTTTAGTATAAATTTTTTATCCAACACAAACTTGTTAGAAGGGGAATTGCTCATTCTTCAACTTCACCTCAGTCCATAAGCAAATTTGAAAAAGGAATTAGTTAAATAATTCTCTTTGGATTTTCTAGTGTTTTTAGAGTCTTTCAAATCATAAACATGATCCTCTGACAAAATAAAATAAAAAGGCTAAATTACCAACCATTTAGAAGTTGTGTGTAATTAGTTCTTGAATTTTAAAAGGTATTTAATATATCAAGATTTATAAAGTTCAATCTCAAAATCAATTAGCTATAAGATAGGTCATTGAACTTTCAATTTTGTATCTAACAGATCTGTGAGTTTTTTTAGAAGGTCTAAATAAACACAAAAATGAATGTTTATATAAATGATAAGACACATAATTGAATGTTTAGGAAGTTATATTAGTCAAAAAAAAATTGCAATTTAACTTGCCCTAATTCTAGTTTAACCTAATTAATTAGAGGATCTCGAAAGTGTAATTAGTTACCTGTTTCTCGTGGTACCAAGGCCTCCATGCCTTGGTAATGGGGAGACTGAGGGAGCTGAGACTGTATCTAGTGGACAACACAGGAACTCTTCCATCCGTATCTCCACTGTCCCAATAAACAAAATATATTGCGTATTTCAATCTCACTAATTAATGTTCTAAGAAATATAATATTGTTCCTATTTTTTTTTTCTTTTTGGGTTAATTAATTTACCTGTAAATCCATACCCTAAGCCCAGCTGCAATGAGCTTCTCGTATATGGGAATAATGGAAGGCTTTGAATCTGACCAGTTCTCGAATATTGTGTTGCTGTGTTTCACAATTAAAAAGCAGTTATGTATTAATCTTAATGAAACCTCAACAAAATAATTGGTATGAATTTAATTATATGGTGTTTTTTTTTTCTTTTTCAATTACGTACTTGCAAATGCTCCAGTTCTTCAGCTGGTGCCCATCACTCACATGGAGGGCTTCTTGCACATCTGGTCTGTTGTAAAATGTTTTTGCGTAATCATCGAGGCACGGATCATATCCGCCCATCATTCTCGGCATCTAATCATTACGTCATATCATAAGATATTATCCATTTTGAACATACCAAAATTATATATATATATTCACTGTATAAATCATCACTTAGTTTTTATTTTAAATTATAAAATTTGGTCCCTGTGAATTTTTAGGATTGTGTTCAAGTAGCCTACTTATACTATAAATTTTTGTTAAGGTCTCTTATTTTTTCAATATGTGATTTTTAATATGCTCTCTCAATCTAGCTCGAGTGTTTGTTTGAACTTATTAGGCCCTTATACAATATCAATATTGACAGACTCTCGAGATATTCACTATTTTCTAAAACTTTGAGAAGGGAAATTTGGGTAAAGTAGAGTACCATAGTAGTGGAGCGTTTGATGGTGAGGGTTTGCATAGAGCTGCCATCAGCGGATGCGGAATTGGCAATACAAAGGGAGGTATAAAGGCTGTAGATGTCAATTTCTTTGTATTGGCTCAGCAACTCATCCACAGCTTCGCTACAATTGTTGTTGCTCCAAGTGTCATTGCTGTTGAAATCGCAGCTTTCTCTTATTATTTTGTGGGTTTCATCAGATATTACTGCGTGGCTCCAAGCATAATCCACCATCCCTCTCCAGTCATCACCATCAGAAGTTTCAGGATTCCCCAACTGTGAGATTATTCAACATTCACACAAATAATCACAAAAACCCTTTTCAAATAAACCAAATTAAGACTAAAAAAGTTCACATGATCAAAATTTTTACTGGTGTTTGTTTTCAATAAGGCCAATATTTGGAACTTGGACCCATCAATTATTTCGATTAATCGTTTCTTCAGATATACAATCGTGCCCGAGATTTTCATCTCGACTTCTAAGCTAAGTGATAAAAAAAAAAAAGAGAATAATTTGTCTTCTATACATTGAACTTACCAAAACACCATGCAGATTGATGTGAAAGGAAGAATCTTTATTCCTATCATGGATGAGCTCAGCCAGCTCAGGAACATATTTGCCTGCTTTCAGGACATGATGTGATTAAAAACAAAAAACAAAAAAAGGCACTAAATCAACTGATTAAAAAAAACAAATAAAAAAAGAAAAAAAAAACAGAAGGATGGTGGAACTCGAAACCTGCATAGCTTTCTCCTGCGATGTAAAAAGTGTGGTTTTTATACGATGGAAACTTGAGGAACCACTTTTGCAAAAAGTTATAGGCATCGTTTGCTGTCCAAGAAACACCACATAAAATGGCTCTTATCCAAATAATAATAAAGAAATTGTTTTCAACAAATCTCCACGTATATTATACGTACTATTTTTTTATATGCCCAATAAAAAGAGAAAACTGTTTATAATATATTATATTATTACCTGTAAATTCGTCCCCCAGATTGTCGTAATCGCTAGTTGTATTTGAGTATGAAAAGCCGACACCAATAGGAGATTCCAAGAATAACATATTGGCCTCTGCATCATTAAAGTGCACAAATTGCATTATATTATACATATAAACAGATAATTAGGATAAGAAGAGGACTGATATCAAATGGAAAATGTCTTATATAAATCTGGTAGATAATTGGACCAATGTAGAATAAGTAAATCTACAAAATATTGCATTCTTATATATATTATTGGTGTCTTAGTGCCCTATATGTGGCAAAATATGCTCTTAAGGGGCATGATTTATTATTATTATTATTTAAATATGATGCTTTAATTTGTTGGAGTGGGAGAGGACTTATCATGCTCCTTATATATATATATACCTTTATTCCAAGAATAGTCATTTAATTTAAGTCCATTTGCATCATTGTCCACTATGAAAGGACCAATCTCTTGTGTTGCTCCATAGCCCACAGAGGAGCACCCAGGACCTGAAACCCAACCAAAAAAAAAAAAAAAAATGGAAAAAAAGAATTTCTTGTCACCTCACCACAGAACATTGAAATGGAGCATTCATTAGATTTTGTATATAAATACCTAATCAGTAGGCAAATAAATCAGGTCAAAAAGTTCTGGTCATGGGAATATGTGAATATATATCATTATTATATAAAACATTTTAAAGCCTTTAATTAATATTCCTCTTGTAAGCATAGAATAAAAATTTCATTTTTACCTCCATTAAGCCAGAGAACCAAGGGTTTTTGGTGAGGGTGAGATTGAGCCTCATAAAACCAGTAAAACAATGCTCTTCCGTGGGAGTCATTGACGGTGACATAGCCGGCGAAATGGCGGAATCCGACGAGGGGCTGGCCGGGCAAGTTAGTGACGAGGTGTTCTTCTTCGCSGGCGGCGGAGAATGGTTGTTTCTGATCGCTGTGTAAACGCCATTGTCTTCTTCCGAATGCCAAGGCTGCAGGCTCCACAAGCAGAGCACAGAGCACAAAAAATGTGGCCTTTATTGCAAACTTCATATTGTTTTATAACTTGGAGACTAAGACTAAGAGTAGTGTGAAATTCCACCCCAGTGTGAGACATTGGAAACGCCCCACTACTCTATTTATACACTAAATTTCTCTCTCTGGTATTAAATTTTAATTAATTTTTATCATTTTGTGAAATGTGGAAATATTATAGAGAGAGAGAGAGATGTTCCACGTGGCAAAATTTGTTTATTTGAATGGTAGGTGTGGGTGTGGCAGAGGTGTGGAATAATATTTGATAACCCACTACTGTTCATTTGGAAGATCTAATCTTTTATCTAATAATGGTTGTTCTCTCTTTCCCAGTTTACATTTCTGTAGAATAATAAAAGGATATAGTTTGATTGATTGATTGATTTGAGTTATCCTCTTAATTGCATAACTGGTTAAAACTAAAGATAAAATTCAATCAATTTTAGGTCATATTTGATAATAGTTTGGTTTTTTGTTTTTTGATTTTAGAAAATTGTTTGATATGTTCTTCATCATTTCTCTAAAATGTATTTAAATTTTTAACCAAATTTGGAAAAAAATGTGTTTTGTATTTTAAAAATTCTTTTAAAAAATAGAATATGAATAAATAAATGAAAATGTATGAATGAAAGTAGTATTTATAAAATTAATTTACAAAATATGAAAATAAAAACAAAATAGTTATAATCACTATTTAACTCGAGATATAAATAAACTCTAAATCACTCACGTCATTCACATGAATGCAATTCTTAATTGTTTTTTCTTTTTCTGTTACTTTTCCTTTGTGGGTTGTTGGAAGGACATAATTGGGGTTTATAATTTGGAAGTAATATGTCTGAATAATCACACTTAACAGGTATTTAACATGCATAGTAGTAACATTTTAATTTAGTGGAATTTAACTATTCGGATGTCAACACGGGTTAACTAGTCTTCTTTTTTTACTATTACAAGTTTTGTGGAGCTTGCGTAAGCAATGACTTTGAATGAAGACATTTAGAAGAGCGCATGAAACTGGTCTTCGTCCGTTATAGGTCGAGGTCGATTCCTTGATCCTTTGGAAGCTTCTTATCGTGATGAACATGTGACAAATGAGCTCAAAGACCATTAGAGATGAGGTCTTGTTGGTGTTGGCTTTCTCTTCACCTCATGCGCTTGTAATTCTACTACCCATCACCCCATCAACTAGCGTGTCATGTTCAAAGAAACAAAAATTTGCAAATATGGTTAGAAAACCATCCACCATGGATTATTGATGCTCTCGCCAAAGATGCAATTTTCATTTCATTTATTTAGTTATGCTTTTTCTATTTGTACTAAAAATGACTAGTTACAACATATATATCAAATCGAAAATTCAAATTCTCACTTCTATATATTGAACTCAAAAACAAAAATGGGATTGTTAACTTATGACCCATTTGACAATCTTGTTTCTGGAGCCCTCCCTTCTAACACAGTAAAACAAAACTATATATGTTTGATAATTATGTTTATTTTTTTTATACACATACATATTTAGTAACAAATTTTGTTTCTCTTTCTCTAAAATTTTAAATAAAATAAAAATAAGATACTTAATTTTTACAAAGTTCCTAGAGATTATGTTAGAATGGATTATGTTTCAAAAAAATGAAAAACGAAAAAAAGAAAGAAAGAAACGGAAAGGTTTGTGTATAAGATTGCTTTTTGGGCTCCATTTGAAAAGCATACAACATGGAAGTGAGTCAACTTTTAGTGCAGAAGCGTGTGATAATATTACAGTATTAAAAAGCACTCTGCACACAAGCCACTAACGATTCCTCTGAGCAAAAAGAGAGCGAAAATCTTCAATCATTACTAAAAAAAATAATAACAAAAAACCAAAAGAAAGGGGACGACAATTGCAACATATTTACAAAACACTGTTCATCTGGAGTCTATGACCATTTCAAAAGCCAGAAGCTGCGGTATATAATCCCACCCCATTCTTCACCACAGAGCTAGACACACACGTGGCATTTCATGGTTGGTGGAATTGGCAAATACTATATATTGAGAGGGCAAAAAAAAGAAAGTGGTTCTGAGAAACCCGAGATCCTTCATCATCATCACAAAGTTGAAAGATGGAGTTTTGTGGCGAACCTTCGTGGGTTATGACTCTTGAATTTGGATCTGATGATAAACCACAAAATATGGTGACAAGTAAAAAGAGAAAACAAAAAAAACGCCCAAAGTTGGTAATTACTTTATTGATATAGTGACTAGGATTCAACTCATTTATCTTTAGTTGAATAATGAGATGGAATTCATTTCTTTATTCATACTTTATGAAAAACACCCAAACTCCATGTTTCGATCTCTACTTCCCTTTTTTTATCCTATAATAGCCATTACCATTCGGTGGATTTCGACATTTATCCATTATTTTCCTTCTTAATTGGGTATCCATAATTTTATTTTCATCTTTTTCTTTTAATGCGAATAACGTGTTTGATTTTCGTTTCTCTGTTGTATTGTCCACTTAAGTCTAGAGGAAGGGGACTATAAATTTATATACTAATTGGAAAAAATAACACGCAAGAACAAATATGTGCAGAAACGTAGTAGGATTTAACTCACCATCCATTTTCATTATATTTTTCCAATTTTGTGACAGCAAATCTGGACGTATTTTGCCTCTTGCTGCTTCATCATTCGAAATTATTAAAGATCTTGATTAACATGTATATTATTAGATGGTTACGAAGAAATTAATATGAATTAGATGTGGATATATATATATGTTGAGTTAGAGTTGTAGTATTAGGCAAGAACCGAGAGGGCGTTAATGGGCGACACCAATGCTTCAATTTGAGTGGTTGTCTGACCGTTGTCTAAACGCCTTTCTATGCAACCAGTAGCTTTAACCCCAAAAGAAAAGAGAGAGAGAGAGAGAGTTAATTGACCTAATGTTAGCTATCCATTTCCTCTTCTTATAAAAATGCTCCTAAATGGGTGTTTCCATTTCCGTTATTTGTGTTAAATTACCGGTTTAAAACTTTCAATCTTGTGTTTAATCGTTCCAATCATTAATCGTATCAAGTTAACATTTGCGTTTCTAAATAAGTGAGTGAACGTAATTGTCAAATTGATGGAGTTCTCAAAAGAAATTTATTAGACTCGAAATTAAAGTATGTAAGGTTAAATGGTCATAAACATCGAATCTAGATGGATGCTACCAAATTTGTAATTTAAGTTGTTTTTTGAATAAATATACGTTGTATATATAAACTATGAAATACTGACAAACAGATTACAACATAACTGGCTACAAACAATACAATTCTAACAACTTGATGAATACCAAAACTTGATAAATGCAGTTGAGGCACGCTTCGATAGCACTAATTTGAATACAATTATTCACTATGTACAAGTTGCTAGTAGATTACAGCGATTTTCTCAGCAGTATCCAACGACTACTCGAATCTAACAGAACCCTTAGATTCTTGCTCTTAACACAAACAACAACAACAATTTAAAAGAAGAGATAATTCTTGTGAGAGGAAGAGAATACCCAATTGTGGTATACTTGGATATCTCAAAATGAAGAAATACACAACTATATATAGTTGTTCAAACAAGTAACCTCTTATTCAAAATTAAACACACATGTAGTATTTTTATATATATTCCAGATATAACTTTAACTCATGTATTAAAGACAAAGGTATAAATTTGTAATTTTAACAAAATAACGAAATAACTTAAAACTTAATAAAATAAATAAACAAAATAACTATAATAATAGATAAGAATAATATTTATTACGTATATGTGACCGATTTGTTGAAAATATTCGAGCCTATCCTAAAAGAAGCGGAGGGAGAGAGTAAAAAGATTGGAAAAGAGAAGTCACTGAAATTTTGTTGACTAAAAGTCATGTCAAGACCAGACGGCCACGCCACTGCCAGCAATAGCATATGGAAATTGGAAAATGGATGCGACTCTAAGAGCACCAAATTTTGCCAATCGTACGGTGGTTTTGTTTTACCCTTTGCCCTACTAATTCATCAAATCATGTATAATATCTTATCTGGATCATTTGCCTTTTGAAAATTCTTGTATAAATAAAAAAACTTTTACTTATCTTTTTTGTGTTGTTTTTCTTTTTGCTTCCTCGTGTTCTCTAAATTAAAAAGAGATGTGTTGAGAAGAAGATGGGTGTGTGTGTGTGTGACACTTTGGGCAACGTGCGAAAAGAGAGGGCTTTTTTGCACTTTGGTGGCCTAAGCCTAACTGTCTCAAATTTTTAATAAAAGCGTTTTGAACCACTCACTCACTCACGATACTTTTTCTGTGGAGCATTTTCACCTTCGATTTTTTTTTTCCTTGTGACATTTTGAGTACATAATTGATGCTTCGTGTTGGGACACAACTCATTTTTATTCAAAAAGATAGGACTATCAAGTATCAATCATGTCACTTCCCAACCTTTTAATCTGTCTTCCACCCAATTTTATTGGGTTCAAATTACTGTTTTTGTCCGTAACTTATTTAATTTTTGTCCCTACTTTTAAATGTTCAAGTTTAGTCTTTTTACTTTCAATTTTAATAATTATAGTATAAAATTTGAAAAAGAATATTCACATTGTATCATGTTTTTAGTGAATTTTTTTTTTTTAACCAAGTTAGATGGAAATTAATCTCAAAAAACAATTTTACTAAAGTATATAGACTAAATTTAGATATTTAAAATATGTGACAGAAAATATCTGATTTGTTGAGAAATCTGTGATTAGCCAAAACCAAAGGGGTTGTTTCGATTGTCCACGGAGAGAAGAAGAACGATTCTCTAATTTTCTTGCTTGGATTCGGGATGTAGTTTCAACTATATATTTTCTTTATTTTAGTTTAATTTGAGGCTTCTTTTCACACACAAAAAAAAGTAAAAGTATATTGAGCAAAAAGTTCCAAGTACAGTATAAAAGCTTTGTTCTAATTTTATTATTTATTTATTACTTCTTATCTGAAATAAATTAAGTTATATTAAAAAAAATAGCTAATGATGATTATATACAAATCTAAGTTTAAAAAATGGAAAAGAAAATGTAAAATACATGAAAATAGTATAGTACTATTGTTATTGTCTGTTTTCTAAAAGTTCTCTTGTCGAACAAGTTTTAAAACATTACATTGAAGAGTGTTTTTCTAAAGAATATAACATTACAAATAATTTAATTATATTATTCAAATGTAACATATGAATCATTTGTTTTTATTTTTATTTTTTTCCGGAGAGGATGTTGAATTAGTTGGTGGAAGGAGGTGAGAAAGCATTCCTTCTAACATTAACTTTCAACAAAATCAAACTGCTACGTCACATTATTAATTGTCCACTACACAATTATTCAAGTTTAAATATTTTTGTTGACCACAAAAGGTTATTGATTAACGACCTATTTAATTGAAAATGTTCTATTAAAGGTTCCAATTCTCACTCTCACATCTTGCTAGTGATCCAATTACCTAAAAAATATCAATCCAAACAATCAATCAGGATAAGTCAAAGTAGCTGTTAGGTAAGGTTCACTCCTAATTGATCAGGCGAAACTCCAGCCCAACATCAATGAACAAATGTCTTCAACGTAAAAATCTACTCTCTATTAGATATGGAATGTCAGAAATGACGAGACAACGCTTCCTGAATCTCCTTATATTATGCGAGATCATTCCTTACAATGGTACACAATTCTAAGCAATCCTTATTGAGCTTAGCTAACAGAACTAATTATTAACTTAAGATTCGTAGTATACCTAGTTGAGCGCCACACTGGTACAATGTTCTATTTTCAAGTCATCACCTCAACTAACAAATCACCCACCTCGAATCTGAAGTCCATCGGTCACCTCTTCTAGAACATCAACGTAACTCATTGAAAGAAAAACCATTATTCTATATAATCCATAACCATCTCCATTAACCTAAATGAGAAGACCTTTTTCCCTCTTTACAATATCGAGAGCATATTGTATTTATATATACCCATCCAAATCTAACTCTTTATTGAAAAAGTTACGTTCATGTGCTTTTCTGCACATGGCAGTATGGCCATCTACCCTCTTCCAATTGTACTAATAATTTACATCCATTCATTACACCTCATCTAGTAAACTTTAGCTGAATTGACTTAAGCCAGTCTAATTAATAAAGTCTTATTAGTTTAAAAAGTCTATTGAATTTAAGCCATCTCTTTTATAGAGTGCTAGGTCTCATTTGTTAAAAAAAGAAAGGACTAAATTAAAGATAGATTATTTTAATATCACTCTAATAAAAGAAAATATATAAATATATATATATATTTTACACCGAAGCTTAATATTGATTCTACTTCTTCAAGTTACCACTTGGCATTGAAATTTATCATTAACAAAATTATGATGTCTTGAATTACATATTTGGGTATTTTCTTTTAGTGTTGCTTTTTATTAAACTTACTCCAAAAATATAATATCTATAAAACTATTTCTAAGAATAATGGTTGAAAAATAGTTGGTTGTCTCTTAAAGAGACGATCAAATAATATGACACCATTCGTCTAAAATTTAAATTGTGGTTGTCTATTTTTTGAAGATTGTGGTCATTTCTTGAAGAAGAGATAACGAGACAACCATCTGAATACACATGCAAGTAGGTTGTATCTGGAAGAGAGGACAAACTTGCATGGACGCCAGGTAAGTTTTTAAAATAGAAATAAAAAAAAAACTATAAATATTTAAAGTTGCACACTCGAGTTCAAATCATCCATCACAAGCTTCTTCTTCTTTTTTTTTAACTAACTTTTTACTTATGTTAATAAAGAAACTATTAATATTTAAAGTTGCACGCTCGGATTGAAGTCATCCTTCAAGCTTCTTTTTTTTTTTTTTAATTAACATTTTACTTATCATTATTATTAAAACTCAAAAAATTGTTTATGACAGAGTTCCAACTCAGGTCGATAAGATTAAAAATTAGGCGCCCACCCGCTGCGCCAAAAAATAAATTTATCATAAATGTGCTGTTTATTATATAAAACAGTATAATAGTTTTTTCTTTTTTAAAATAATATTGTCGTCATCTCAAACCATAAATCGGCAAATCGTGAATGTCTTTTCATTCAATGCTGGTTCGATAACGTTTTGTTTCTTGTTTCTCATTTCTTTTTCCTAGACATAAGTGTTTGGTAATTGTTCTTAGAGAAATAGTTAACAAACATAATTTTATTTTTCTAGTACAACATGTGRGGTCAAAAACCAAACTTACAATATCTCAATTGAAGATATATATCAAAATTGCGAATTGTTCGTCAATTCTATTTTTATTTATTAAATAAGAGGAAATGAAAAATAGGAAACCTTCCCGTTATGGAATAGGCCCTGAACAAATCCACATCTTGCCATTCCAAATAAAAAATGATTCAATTATCCATCTATTCACATAAGAGACCTTGGGCTTTTGGGCTTTCAACTTTTAGAGAAGAAATTGAAGAAATGAGTAATGACATATACACTTTCCTTATAGATTGAAGGGAATCCATATACCCTACCTTTATTAGACCAAAAAAAAAAAAAGAAAAATTCATAACTTTAGTTATGCTCTTGAAAAAAAAATATAAGAATTAAAATGCTATTTAAGAAAAGGAAAAGAAACTGAAAATTTAGA